TAGTTGATTTTTTCTTGTATCTACACTTGTTAAATCTCTATAATGATTTGTTCTCAAAAACCATTCTACTATTTAATCTAATGAATTTAATGCTATTTGATGTTATCTATAATAATATTTTTGAATTATTGTCCTCAATTCTATCTAAATTTAGAATATCTCTTTTGATTAGTAATCTGGATGTGTGGTTTTTTTCTTGCATTTATGTGTTAAGTAGAAATTTTGCCAAGCTCTAGTTCTATCACTCAATTAGAGGTATAAAAAACCAATAAGCAAAACCTTAAAAGGCAGTCTGAGAAGACATTTTTATGGCCATTTTTATAGACAAAAAGTTGAAAGATGTGATCATCAATGAGGACTTTGAAGCACAACATCACATAGTTTAAAAATTAGAGTACCAACAGTTGATGCTCATTTGCACTTACTACTTCTCAAAGATGAAAAGATGCTAGTGTATCACTATAATTGAACAAGAATTCTTTATTTAATTTATAAAATTTTACTTTTTAAAATAATTATACAAAAGATGTCATAATTAGTTTACAACCTAAAACAACCTTTATTCCAACAAATATTTTTAACTCAAGAAGAAATATTTATTAAAAAAAACTATTTAAGCAAAGTATCATAATATATAAAATAAATAGAAGTACGTAGAAATATTTTGAAAAGATTATATCTTCTTTAAGGAGCTATGACAAAGTTTTCTAGGCTATTATTGGTTATTTAGACTTTTATAAATATGCCAAGTAACTATTGAAGCTTGTTCCATAAGTTTAATACTTTTACAAAGTCACATTAAAAGCAACCTACAACTTGATGCTTGGACCACAAGACTTGCAATTTCTAAAAAGCTTCTATAAGAATTTTTTTTATAGCTTGTATATATAGAGACAAGATTAAGACCATCTTTAGTCTTGTCAACATCTTTTTTTTATGTCCTAGGCTTGATTCAAAACTAGATAATATCTTAGAAAAATATCATACATACCCTTGAAATATGTTGAAATGTCAAGAATACCCCTCAAGGTGTACCCCTCAAAATTTTGATAATAGAAAAAATATCCTTAAGTGTGATAAGGTATCCAAAAACCACTGGATTCCATTATGGTTTTTTTGTACTCTTCCATTATTATTCTGCTCACTTGGGCAGCTGTGTCTGCAGTCCGCAGCCCTCTAGTCATTTGTCCTTCGTCCTCACAGCACCCTCGTCCTCCTCCGTGACACCCTCCGCTTCGAATGGACATGGAAAACCTCTCTTTGAGATTCCACGAAATATCACATAAATACACTGAGATGACACAACAGGTGGAGGAGCTTACGCGAGGCTCCAAGTCAAAGTCAGGATGGAGCTCCGAATAGAAGATTCACCAAAGCCACTCCACTAAAGTTCTTAAACAAAACCTGCAAGGGTGCTCTCAATTACGACCCTAAAATCCTAAAACCAATTGTATGAACAAAATAATGGTAAAGCTCCTTCTCCTAGTTATTCCTGGGTCAGCACATTGATTGTGTTCTTGCCGCGATTAAAGACGTGAGTGGTCATCAAGGATGCACCAACTCGGAATCAGAGGGATGAACACAGTGATTGAAGTGTGCGAAGCTGATTGCAAGTCGGGTGTGATCAGATCTTCTTGCGAGTGTAACGTGCAAGTACAAAATGATTTCCAAGATGCACACCGGAGTGGAAAGGCCTGGAACAAGGCCATTGAGGAATTGAAATTTGGTAACCATCCTTTATTTGTGGAATTCTCAATAAAAATGTCTCTGTCTGCTTGAGTTAGATCGATCCACGCACGTTTCTGTGAATTATTCTTGACCCCTACTGGCTTCCAGGCTTCTTCAAGCAGTAAATCTCTCCACCGCGTGCGTGCTCTTTTGCAGTTCCCCCACAGTCACGCCGAGTTTTGCCTAGTCTGATTCCAACCTTGTGCTTCGACGTCAGGCTTGGAAAAGCAGGTGGCCAATGCGGTGGCAATGGAACAGATGTAGGGTGAATCTTTCAGTGTCAATTGTTGTCAGTTGGGATCGCATCAGCAACTGATCGATCGAGGGATGGCATGCGTCCAACTTTTGAGGCCTTTCACGCTTTACCTTGTGAGGTGTTTGGCATGGCAGCAAGAAACAAATGAAAGAGAATCCTGCAAGCTTGAAGGTTGCGAGAGCTGACGATCAACACATAGTGACTGACACTTGGTCCAAATCTTTGTTGCGACGACGAGGGTGGACGTGATCGGGAGACAACGATCGGCCCATTCGTCTGCGATGGATAGTGATGGAACCTTCCTCTTTACAACGATCCTTGTAACTTCCATCTCTGGTGCCATTTGTCTCCGGTACTACATCTTTCTCAGATCGCGTGGTGGGCATTAATGGCGCTTTATCCTTCAAAGTTTCCGGAGCCACCTTCAACATGTGTTATTGTGGTAGAGTCTCGATCACTTCAATCTTCACGGGTACGCTGGGAGTTACAACCGCCGTCGTTGGTTGGGAATCTAATATCGGTGTCTTCGAAAGTTGTAACTTGAGGTCAGCTGCTTCAGGTGTCTTAAGAGCTGAGAGGAGATCCGCCTTCAAGGTCTTGGAAAGAATAGTTGTGACCGTTCTCGGCGTCTTTGAGAGCAGAGCATCAGATTTAGATGTCTTTCAAGCAGGAAGACCAGGCCCATCCCTAGGTTTGCTTATCTTGATTCGAGGCAGGGGCGATGGCTCTATCTTGTGTTGCTCTGCTACTGCCTTCACAGTGTTGTCATGATGATCCTTTGATTAAAAAGATTTTGTCACGTTCTTCTATTCGGAGCTCCATCCTGACTTTGACTTGGAGCCTCGCGTGAGCTCCTCCACCTGTTGTGTCATCTCAGTGTATTTGTGTGACATTTCGTGGAATCTCAAAGAGAGGTTTTCCATGTCCATTCGAAGCGGAGGGTGTCACGGAGGAGGACGAGGGCGCTGCGGGGACGGAGGACAAATGACTAGAGGGCTGCCCAAGAGTGCAGAACAAACAAAAACAATTCAAGGCACACCATAAAGGCACGAGATTTATGCCGGATATAAAACACAAAAATCAATAATGGAATCCAGTGGTTTTTGGATACTTTATCACTCAAGGATATTTTGATAATATCAAAATTTTGAGGGGTACATTTGCTATTATCAAGAATGTAGAGGTATACTTGATATTTCAACATATTTGAAGGGCAAGTAGGATATTTTCCCTAACATCTTTGTATTTGGCAAGAGTTATTTTAGTTCTTTTCTATGATACAACTACATCTTTTTATTTTACTTTCTCTATTTTCTTTCTTTTTTAGAAATATTAATATATAAATTAGTTCTTTCCAAAAAATAACCATTTTCCAAATTACTAATTTAAATAAGTAATTTTAATAATAAATATTAGCATATAATTTATAAAAAAAAAATTAGACCAAGAGTTAGAATATAAAAGTATGAAGAAATTAAAGAGTTAAAGAAATAAAGAGATATATCTTATCTAAACTTTACTTTGAGATCAATCCAACAATTAATAAAGAATTAGTGATTGGATGATTTTTTTCCTACAAGATATTTAAAAATCTTACAAGGTTTAAAAAATAACTTTGGTTACATTTTTGCACTTTTATTTACAGATATTTAATTTATTTAAATTAAAATTAGAAATTAAATTATTACTCAACTAAAAAAACCATCTTTTCATGGTTGAAATAAAATAAGGTGGTTGATATGTCAAAAGTAATTTTATAGAGACTTAATATATATAGTAATTATAAACTTAATATTCTCATGGAATAAATAATTGTACCATTAAGATTTGTACTAGATACTGTGGCAATATTTTAAAAGAATATTTTTTGTGCAAATTTTGCAATAGTATTAAAGATAAAAGAGAACTTTTGTGAAAATTTGTATTGAAAAATCAGCATCATAAATCACATACAATTGTAAGAAAATTCTTATTCATATCTAGAAATTACAAACAATTATTTAAATCAAGGTAAACATTTTTTTTTGTAAGAGATCATTGCATTAATAGCCATTAATAACCATATGGTAGTTGATTACAAGTAGAGTGACTATTTACAATCTCTTCATACAAAGTTTTATGTGGCTTGTTACAATGTACGTTCTCTTGAAGATAGATAAGCGGAAGCAACCATTACAACTTATTTAGAGAGGGAGAGAAATAGAGTATTTATTTAAGAGTCTTAATAGATTTGATAATTAAAAAAAATGGGAATTTAACAAAATTTGGCTAATCAATGATAAATCAAATAATTGTTTTTGTAATAATTTAGAATCACCACTATGCCAATGCAATTGATGGCTTAGTTAAAAATTAAATTTATTAAAATAAAAAATATTAAATATATATATATATATATATATATAAACCTGCTGATACATGTCTTATCAGCTATTAAAATGGTGACAACGAAATGCTAGATCTTGCGACAATAAGTAATAGATTTTTAAGCAATTCTAAAATAACAAGTCTGTAATTATATTCTAGATATTACAAACTTATTATTTGATTATAAAGTAAAAACCTTCTTCTATGCTTGACAAAAAAGGATAGACCACCGACATCTTGTCAATCTTAACTAAAATCAACCAACATGAAAAAGAAAAAGAAATCAAAACACAATCTTGGCACAGAATACAAAAGCAACATGAGAAGAAGAGGCTGGAAATTCATGAAGGAAAAACACAGCATGAGCACACATGAGGCATCGTATGAAGGGTCACGCAGAAGCGCCGCTGAGAGTTGCCAAGAGTGCAGGCATGATGCGCTCGCAGTGCCGAATCCACTTCGACGAATCGCCCGATGAGTGAATTCCAAAGCGCCAGTGCTTGAGTGCCATGCAAGTTGCTCTCGATCGTCGTCCGCGGCCGAACTTCCAGGACACTTTGACTTTCCCTCATTGGTCCTCCTGCGTCAAGGGTGGATTTTGCTTGCAGCCTACGCCCTCTGTCGCACTCAATTATAAATCCGTGCGTCATCGGTTCGCTGATTCACCCGCTTTGTTTTGGTCTGACACCGTCAGTCAATCCGAGTTCTCTGTCGGATCATCGCCTCCCCGCCCCCAAGTTCCTCCTCCAGCTCTGTTCTCTGCTGCATTTGTTTGGGGATATTTGTTATTCGGTTTCTTCCGGATAGCTGTTTTAGCGCATTCTTTAAGGCTTAACGGATGGGGCAGGTAGTGACTAAGTTTCTCTCTGGCATTGTCTGGCCGAAGAGGCAGCTCGCTATTCTCATGCTTGGCCTTGACAACGCCGGTACGGTTCTCAATCTCTCTTTTTCTTCTTCTTTTATTTTTATTTTTATTTTTTATTTTCATGTGTGTCACCTTAATAATCTGAACGAATCATGGGAGTGTGCGTGGTGTTTTAGTTTCGGTTGTAAATTGTCAGATATTAGTCGTGCTTGGGGGTTTATCAAATGACCAATTGATGTTTGGATGTGTGTAATTACAGGTAAGACGACGCTGTTGTACAAATTGAAGCTCGGAGAAAAGGTGACCACGGTGCCCACCATTGGATTCAACGTGGAGTCCATCCAGTACCGCAATGTGAACTTCACGGTGTGGGACGTAGGGGGCCAAGACAAGATCCGACCTCTGTGGAAGTACTACTTTAACAACGCCCATGGGTTGATTTTCGTAGTAGATAGCAACGACAGAGAGAGACTGTTGGAAGCTCGAGATGAGCTGCAGAAATTGCTGTCCAGTTCCGACCTCAGCGTTGCAAAGGTGCTGGTGTTTGCCAACAAGCAGGACCTGCCGAATGTCGTGAGTGTGGCCGAAGTGACGGACAAGCTGGGACTGTTAGCGATGCGGGACCCACAATGGTTCGTGCAAGGATGCTGTGGCACTTCCGGCGAAGGACTGTACGAAGGGCTCGACTGGCTCGCCGCGGCCCTCCGCGACGCTTTGTGATTCATCCTCAACTTCACAGGCGATGCTCAGCTTCATGCACATTGGGTAACATAGTATGGTATCTGGAATTATCGATGCTTGGATCTACCATGTCTAACGACGATTCCCAAAGAGGGAAATTTGGAAACAAAAACAAAAACGGGTAGAAGCAAAGAAAAGCAAAACAAGATGACAACAGCTATGAAACTGAAGGAAAAGTCGCGTGAAGAAAGATTATGTGAGGAGACCGGGAGTCATCAGATCAGAGATGTTACAGTTGCATTCCCAATAGCTCGGGAGCTGAAGTCTGCAGAGATTCACAGATTTGGTCATGAGAATTAGAGATTGTTCTGTGGTTGCGAAGGTGCCGGAAAAAATTATAGCGATGAGAGGAATTGGTGTAAAGAGACCAAGAAAGGTTTTGCACCCGGTTAAACTGACAGTGCGAACTTCCACAATCACTTTACTTTGTACTTTGTACTTTCGATTTCTTTAAATGTTGGATTCAATATACACATCTCTCTCATCAAACATGCGCCTCCTCTTTCTTAATGAGGTAGAGCAGTACCTTATGTGAAACTTCGAAGAGACCTTGCATGGGGAATGCAAGAACCATCAGTCTGTAGAGTTTAATTTCTGTTAATAGGTGATCTTCGAAGGGGTTGGTGTAGACCAGCTTTGAGGACGTTGAGGGAAAGTCTCGTACTTTCAGTGTGCCGAGTATTGCCCCCTTTTCTGAAGTGCTAGGTGCAGTGGAAAATCTTCACGCGGAATTGGAGTATTAGGCACAGATCCATGCCTACAGATCACCAATCTAACCAAGAAGGAGAAATCTGCAAGTGATGAATTCATTAGCAGTCGGCAGTGCATTAAGAAGCAATACATAGTGAGCGTGGAGGCTAGATGGTCACATCGTATCTGCACAAAAATTTGTGGGTAATTCCAAATACTGGGCTTTTTCACAAGAATTGATATTCCACTCCCACCCCTCTCACTTTTGCCTGGTTTCAATGCTGCTATGTTTCTTGTCCATCGAGCGTTGATCACATTAGCCGGGGCTCAATCCAGTCGCTCTCGTTGGTGAGAGTTTTCAGGGTTCTATCTGAACCCACCATCAATATCTGTGCCGACAGCAGGATACCCTGTAATGAGTCCAGGATATCCCCCGCTTCTCCACTTCCCCTGTTCGCCTGCAAACTTTTACATCACCCAGTCACCGCTGCTCTCGGACCCCGAAGCCAGGTGGGCCCAAGAGCATTCTTGACAACCAAACATGCCCACCCCCCTCATGAATTTCTCCGCTCATGTCCCCTACATCTGCTAATAAAAATACTTGTGATCAGTAAAGAAGTAAGGTTACATCCATGGGTGTCTAGTCCCTAGTGGCCTCTCGATGTCTGAGATTCTCTATTAACTAGCTGCTGCCTCCCTTCATACCAAAAAATTGTTGCCTGCTTGACACCTCTTCCCACCATCTCTGTTTTACTACCTGCATCTTTTTGTTGGCTTACGAGGACCTGGCCGCCTCGTTTTTTTGGAAAAGAGATGAAAAGAGAGTGAGAACGGATGGAAAGATGTCGACGGTCTTTGGAGAGGATTACTCCATTTCTTCAATTTTGCTGAATAGGAACCCAGCTCGCACTCTGACCTTTTTCCGTCATCTGTCGACATATATGTGTGTCGATGGAGATGTATGGTGCGTAGCAGCCCCATATTTTGTGGGCACTTGGATGGCAGACAACCCGGAATTAGGTTGTCCACAAAATATTAGGCTGCCCGAAAATATTAGGGTGCCCGAAGTTGGGCAATCCATAATTACAACTAATTAGACATCGGGCTCTGAGTTATGCTCTTCCATTTACATGTGGTGTATGCAACTGCATTGGCCTATCCAACCTTGGAGCATCTTGCCATGTACATTTCTCATTCTTTCTTTTTACTGCTCTACTTTAAAGGAAAGGGGGGGGGGGGTATCAAGTGGGAAATTAGTTGCAAACTAGTACCTGATTTGAAAATTAAGTCAAGGTTATCTCTTGTTTGCAACACTCCTAGGATAGTTTTTTGTGCATTAACCTTGCTCACTCTCTTACCAAATGCAAGCATCTTCACAAAATATGCATCTTCATCCTCTTTTCTACATGGCAACAATTAAACCAACAGGTATAATACCATCTTTAACAAAATTCAGTATGCCTTGCTTTCTAAACACTCCGTTATGCATGGGAAAATGAATAAAAATTATCAATTATGCTATTGATGCAGTGTATAATACATATAATTTTAATAAAATATTGTAGAGAAAATATAATTTTATTATATATATATATATATATATATATATATTAAAGTTTGGATAATTTATCTCTCTTTATATTTTACTATTTTATGAATTTGTGTGAAAGTTATAATCTATATGTAAAATGAGATCTTCTGAATGATAATATGGATGCTAATAGCCATGTTCCTATGACATTCCTAGGCTATTAAGACTTCTTTAATATTTATTGTTATTATAAAAGATGTATCTTTCTTTTATATTTATTATTCAAAAAATTAAACTAGAATGTATAAATGACCTAAACTATATTAGATATAATTGTTATAAAATAATTCAAGTATGTTAAATTAAAACTGTACTTATAAAAAATTGTCTCGTGTAACACCTTTGCTAATGTTGCTGCAATGTGGTAGTTCATATCATATCAAAAATCTACTAAATCATTTACATGTCACTTTGGAGGTAAATTCGTATATGTACAATCAATTGATTATATAAGTGTTAATGACTTCTTATCTAATGCATTGCACAAGTATTAATTTCTTATTAATTAATCCAATATCACTTAAGTTATTGCCTTCAATTCTTTATCTTCACACTCCACATCTAATTTAATTTGTTTTATATGAATTCTTAAATCTACCTTCTCTTTACATACTCCAATGCCAATTTTTTGAATCTTATATAATCTAGATGATTTTAGATTTTAAATTTATATATCCTATGCAAATCCTATATTTTTAAACTCTTTTGTCATAATCTTATAACAAATGACATTGAATTTATAAAATTTCATTGAATGTAATTATTAGTGGAAAAATGACATATTCCACCTTACCACTCATTCTTGTAATGAAAAGTGGTAGAAGAAGGATTATATCTTATTCGTTAAAAAAAATAAAAGATAATTTTTAACCAAAAAATACAATATTTGTTGCATCAAGTAGCTTGGTAATGGTAGAGTAGGTTCAAAAATAGTACCCTAATTTCTCCTATAAACTAGTCCTTGTACACATTGAGTGGATGCAAAATACTATATATTAATTCATAAGGATATTTATAGTGTGCTCTTGGATCAACTACACTTTTTTCAAAATTGATACATCTGCTTAGTAATTAACACGACTTGAGCCAAAAGATTTTTGTTAGTGTCTCAAATTTATGGTGGTATTCTTAATATCCTAAAATATAATGTCCAATAACCTACATTGAGCCAATAGGTTCTATATACTTGGAAGTTTTATTTGTATCACAACCTTGGCTATGTTTATGAGTCTCTGTTGGTTGTACTATTTCATTATGAAAGTTATAGCATGCATTGTGGGCTGCAGACACTCCATGCATTGTGGGCTGCAGACACTCCATACATCTTCTTTCAATTAACATTTGTTTTTAAAATTTTTGATAAAATTGGCACAAGTGCAGATGAGATCCACAACCTCTCTAATCAAGTTCAACCATGTGTTTTCTTAAATATAGAAGACGGTGAGCAAAAATTTGCAAAAATAGATGAGACAAATATGATTGCCTTATTTTTATTATTAGTGATTAGATACAAAAAAATATCAAAAAAAAAAAATTCTTAATAATTGAATTTATTTTTACATGCTAGAATGAAATGAATTAATCATGTTTAAGTGTTGTTTTGGCTTGAAATGAGAATTATTTTGTTTTTTTTTTAAACTAGTCAAGATAACTATGATAATGCCATGTTATGGAATGTCCCATCAACCTACCCTCAGGTTCTTCATTCACTTTCATTCTAAAAAATATTTTTATATATGAAAATATAAAATTACAACTCACATTTTATTTTATTAATCATACAATTTAGACTCTGAAATTTTAATCTCATATTGAATCTTAATGTGATCTTATATTAGTAATCTTAGTATAAATCTTAAATTCCAATATTGTATTATAATAATACCTATTTGAAATTTTAACATTTAAAAAAAAATAAAAAAATAAAAAAAACTCTATGCTATATTAGTACTAAATAGATTAAAATATAAATTTAACTTCTAAAATATAAATATTTTATTTTTAGTTTTAAAATTTTTTTAAAATGCCAAGTGGATTGAATTATGTCATAAGATGCCACATTGGATGAAAATATTATGTCCATTATATGTGGATTGAGTTACATCAACAAGATGTTATGTTGGATGAAAATCATAAGTCAATTTCTATGTTGACTTGGTTTCTATGAGAAGAAATATAAGATTGTTGTCTTCCAAAATTTTGTTGATGTCCTTATGATATAGAGCAAAATTGTCTAATATAACTTGATTAATTACATTGAGTGCACCACAACCTTGAAGTGTGCCTACTCAATTTTATAAGTAGTAGAGCTTGGTTGGAATTTTGATTCTTCATCAACAAGGTCATTTTATCTTGCATCATCTTCATTTAATATACAAATTGATCATAGGATCCCGTTTGGCTTTAAATGACTTCATTTTTTATTTTGTCCTTCCATCTATTTCTATCCTTTGGATAAGTGAGTTTTGAGAGGTTAAGTCATTATCTAACATCTAAAGGTGAAGGAAAATGGCCCATAGATTGAAAATGGTTACTAATCTATCCATGGAAATGTCATTGGGAGCTTCTTACATTTTTGGCATAGATAGATATAAAACCAAGGATCCTATGATCTTCCTTATTCTACATCTTTTTTTTATTGATTCTCAATCTCTTCAATCATCATTGCTGATTTTTTATCATCTTCTTGATTTTTTGTTTGATCTTTTAATATTTTCTTAATAGTACTTTCACTATTGAATCCTTGGATAAAGAAGTGGATAAAGGTGTTGTCTGTTAGAAGGATTCTTACAAATCTAATGACTATTAATTCAAATAGCCTAATATATGCGACAATTTTTTCTTGTTTTCCTTGTTTAAAAGAAAAAAGGGCCATGATGGCATTACTTTGTTTTAAAGAATGCTCTCATTAGTATGTCTTAGTTCTTAAAAGTTTGGAGAAATAGTTTCCACACCATTCATAGGCTCCATCTTTTAGGATATTTGAAAACCATATTAGATAGTACTTTGAATTTGTAATTAAATATTTTGTGAAAAGTTTTATGAACCTCTTTATATGTATGGATGAATCATCATTTCTAATGTCCTTGAAAATGGGCAAATTGTGAGGAATTGAAGTTACTTAAAATCCTTCTAGAATTATAATGAATAAATCCTTTGATTAAACCAAGAGATTTATTGGTATAAGATTGGAAGGAAGTTCATTTTCAAAATCTATTAAAGATAAGTTGGATCTTAATTCTCCTTCCTCTTGGTTTATTTCTACAAAAGAGTTAGGAGATTTTGGATTCTCTCCTTCTTTTTCTACTACTTGGTTTGGATCTAAATCAATTAGATTGATTACAAATAAATATTATTAGTTTGAGGTAGATTTTGGTTGTCCAAATGTTGGACCTTAATTCTCCTATAGTTGAGAATAAGTTTCCAAATAACTTTCTTAAGATTTTCTTTGATAGAGGTTAATTTAGGTTATTTGGATCTAATAGAACAATACATTCAACACAACTAATGACATAATATTCAATCAAGACATAAACTTTAAAAGATCAATTATCTTAATTTAATTTAATAACTTAGTCCCTTTGCTTACAACTAAAAATATCTTCCAATAAAAAATAAAAAATATACATAATAAAAATAATCAAAGAAAAAATATTTTCTTGAGTATTATCCTAAATAATATATCTCTTTCTTTAACTATTATATGAAACAATCCTACATAGAGGTGATTATAATCAATACTATTGTGAAACAAATTTTATCGTTGCAATAGCAAGAAGTTTTTTTTTTTTTTTTTTTTTTTTTTTTTACTTTGCATTAGTGTCATTAAGAAATTATCCACTATATTGGTTGACAACAAAATGTTATAATATAAAAATGGTTCTTTTCAAATAATACACCATAATGTGAAAAATTTATCTAGTTGTGTTATCAACCAACTTGTCACTTATCACACCTTCTAAACACTTCACACTTGTGTATTCACTTCACACCTTCTAAATCTCTCTAATCAATTTCAAACTAAGACTTAAGATACGGGTGAAGGCCAAAAAACGTTTCTAATTGAATTTCCTACACTTATGTTGTAAAAAAGTTTCAAATCTACATTTCATGATTCTTCCTCCAAATTGCTTTCCACCAAATTCTTAGTTCCTTGCTTCAACTCCTTGTCTAAGCTTTATAAATCTCCTAAATTTAAAATAAATTAAAATAGCTTAAAAAGATTTTATTTATTATTTCTTTTTTCTTTTTTCTTTATTCTTTTTCATGTCTTCATATATAAACTCTATGCTCATTACATAGTTTATTCATCTAAAATTTTAAGGCTTTCAAATAAAAGATGAGATAAGATGCTTACTTGATTCATTTCTTCTTAGCAAGTATTTTTTCTTTAATGAAGTCAAGACCAAAAACCAACCATTGAAGAGAATCTTTTTGCCTATACTAAATTTGTGAAAAAAAGAAATAAATCACAATTTGCATTTTTGCATCAAAGCAATTGTTTAAAATCATTAAATGCTTCACAATTTTAATAACTTGTAATTGATATCAAGTAAGATAGTACTACACTTCTTAGCCAATTTTTCTATTGATCACAATATAAAGTAAAGAAATTAATCCTAAACTTAATCTTTGAATAATAAATCAACCCATTAATTTTGTTCTAAAATTTGACAATTTTCTTTTTAAATTTTGATCAAAGTATCACATAAATGTATTTCAATGTCTTTACAACATCATTGATAATAATATCTTTTCAACACATACATTTAAAACTAAAAAACATGCAAATATATGCAATACATTTTGAATCTCTCACTAAATTAGAAAAATCAGGACATAATCAATCATAAAAGAAGTGATATGATTTCATGTAATTTTCATGAAGCTTCAACTATCTCCACAATCATACTTCAAATTAATCTTAATGCATTTTGTGGTGGAAAATTGAATTGACACATTACAAATGTTAACTCTTTTCTATTTGTACCTACATTTGCATTACCACATCCTTCATTTTAAAAAGCATTGCCATAATACAACAAAAAAGAAAAAAGAAAACAAAAAATCAAAAAAATCAACTATATTTGAAACAAGTGGTAAAGAAGGAAAAAAAAAAGAATGAACTAACAAACAAAGAAAAAAGGAAAACAAAATCTATAAAAAATCATCAATTTAAAAGTGCAGAATCAAAAACTTCAAATACACTTGTATCTAATCCAGAAATAAAATTAATAACTCACACTTAATCAAGAAAGACAAACTTATAAAATACATTCTGAATAGTTCAGTTCCAAAACCTTCTCGTCAAAACACTCCAACAGTGAAGGCGGGTAACTCTACAGTTCTGCAGTTTCATCATCAAATCTTATTTTTCTGGATGAAAGCTTCACAATGTGCCCAAATTCTCCCCGAAATCGATACCTTCCAAACCCACCCCCACTACTCCATTCGCTTGCTTCTGTTCCTACATGCGCCATCTCTCTCACCACCGTCTCATCACTCCCAACATACAGACATCCAACGATCCCTCCCCACCGACCGGGACGCCTCACAGTCTCCCCACACCATCCACCACAAAACCTAGCCCGATCCATGCATACACGTCCACGCACGTTTCTCCACAACCCACCTCCATCACGCGACATCCCAACACACTCTACCCTCCGCCCCACATCATCGGCCTCGCCATACAAACACACCGCTGCGGCTTCTCAGCTGCTCATTCCACACACGTGCATTCCACATTCACCACCACACACGCACTGGGTCCACGCGAACCCACCACACAATACTCGCTCCCAGGACGTCTGCTGTTGCTCACATGCACGACGGGTTGTGATTGCATCCATCTAGATAATTTCCACAAACGACGCTGTTACACATGAACACTGGCAGCTGGTTTCCCACCCTCCCAAAACCACGGCCATCTCAACATCATCCCCTAGGGCCTGGTATTATTTCAAGCGCCCACACCCCACCGCCTCTACTTTTACAATCCACACGACCAAATGACGAGAAGTAATCCTGTAAACACAGATCGAAATGTACAGTCCCGATTCCATCACATCCTATGGTTACAAATCGTCATACTCATTTGCATTCTCTAAAAGGTAGTTCGCCGCTAATTGCTCGTTCTTATCGCACGCCAGAAACGCCTCGATCACCAGTGCCCGGCTGAACCCCATCCCTTCCAACTGCCCCCCCCCCCCCACACACACACACACACGGTCAGTCACCCACGCTTGCCTCCTCTGCCCCTCCTTGTCCACCGCCTTCCCCACACCCTCCCACCACTAACCTCGCCACAACCCCACAACTCCCATCCCCCCCCCCCACGTCACCACACTCACCCGTTCGATGGCTTCTCTCTCCTCTGGGGTCACGTTAACGGACTGCGGGTATCCTCCTGCCAGCTGCCCCAAAGCATCCCTGCAATTCCCACCCACGCACCTCCCTCCGTCACCCACACATTCCATGGCTTCCTACCGCTACCGCCCCCACCCACCAACGCCGCTACAACACCCTCCCTCACTCACACCCACGCCCAACCTCACGCATCAACACCTCCCGCACCTCGCCCATCCCAATCAATCCGACTCTCAACCACACTGCACATACCCTCCTTCCGCGCCTTCCGCGCCGGCCTCGTTGATCAGCCGCAAAAACTCCGCCTGATTCTCGTTGATCAGCCGCAGAAGCGCCGGATTCTGCTTCCCCAACTCTTGCAGCATCGGCTATCGTCATGCATCACCACACCACGTCAGAACAATCTACCCTCTCGCCTCCGCTCACCAACGCCGACCTCACCTCCACCCACGCATCCCGCTCCCAACCCCACCCTACCCTACCCTACCCCTCTCCACCGCATGCCAAAGTCAACGCATCTGCGCCTCGGTTGTCATCTTACCTGCAAAATCTGCGGGTTCGCTTGCACCATCGTTCTCAATGCTTGAAACTGCCGTCATTCCAAAAACAAAGCCACCTCAGCAACACGTTCCTCTCACCCCTTCTCTCGCACAACCCTCACATACCACACCAAATCAAAGCCTCCTCCGCCCCCAAGCTCATGCTTCACGACAAACTACCTGTGGGTTGTTCCGCAAAAAGTCCAAAGC